ATTTTATGTATTTTTCTTAATCAGTTGGGCGGGTTGGATTAGGTTGAGCGGGGTACCATTTAATTTTATCTAAATGGATCATTAACAGGTTAGATAAGTTTGGTTGAAGCTCAACCCAAACCTAACCCACCCAAACCCACCAGAGGAGTTCCATGTAGGGGGCGGCGTTCCACAACATGAATGTTTTTGTTTTCATCTATTTTTGGAATCTCCACATTAGTAAAAAAACAAAAAAAAAAAACAAAAACATGTTCTTGAACTCTTTTTGTTTTCAAAGGAAAAAAATAAATTGATTTTGTTTCAAAAAATAATAGATATTTTTAAAACAACAAGATATTAATTTTTAAAACAAAAACAAATTTTCTAGTATGAAAATTATATGATTTATGAAACATGGTGTTAAATAATCAGATGAAAACATGTTTTTGGTTTGATTTTTGATAGGGTGCATACAAGTAATTTGTGAAACCACATGATTTTGTTAAGTATTTAATACTACCTTATAAAGATTTTTAAAATGCCTACCAAATCAAAATACTTGTTAAAACTTTTGATTACTATGGAAGAGGAAGCCCATTGAGTAGATAGAGTTTCTTGCCTTTTGAAAGATGGAAAATCATAAGATCATTTGGTAATACCAATCTCATAATAGCTAATGCCATTGTTTAATTCATAATTTTGACTCTAAAAGCATGTACATATCCATATTTATACCATTTATAAAAATGAGGATGGTAATAATGTTTCGTCGAAAAGCCTGATTTTCACTTTCCATTTTTACTCTTTATTATATTTTTTATTTTTCCAATTTTATTTATTTAATTAACAGTTAACACTTGTAATCGGATAAAGCAAAGCACCTACCTATCAAACCTCTTCATTGATTAGATCCAACACGTGTCAAGTATTAGATGGTTTGTCTAAACTATGAATTCGAATTGAAGGGAGGAATGAACTTTTTCAACCTCTTTGTTTTCATCATCAAACAATCAATTAGAAAAGTCGGTTCATAAATTTCAACCCTAACCCTAACCTGAGCATCAACCCGACCCAACCCATCCTGACTTTTTCGGGTTGGGTTCGGGCCAACCCGACCCAAGTTGCAGCCTTAGTTGTTTAGTAGGGCCTACAACTCATGTCCTCAGTCATATGTAATATTGTGACACATTATGAATTGTTCGACTATTTTATTCTTGGACCAATGTGCGGAAATGCTTGACATGCCTAAAAGGTGTTTGCATAAATATTACTTCAGTGGTTGGTTGATAAATTTTGCTTCCAACTAATTACTTTATCTCCTCATAGGCCATGTTTGGGAGTACTTAAAAATAAATGTTTATTCAAAATAAGTGCTTTTTTGGACAATTAAGCATTTATTGGTATTTTGGAAATGAACCCGAAATAAGTGCTTATCTCAAAAATAAGGGCTTATTTTTTAAGCCCAAATTTCAAGCTTTTTTTTAAGTGTTTATACAATAAGCACCTATTCATTTTTTTCTTCCAAAATTATCCCTAGTTGAATTTTATAAAATTACTTTTATGAAAGTGCTTTCACAAAAGTACTTTCATAAAAGTGCTTTCAAAAAAATACTTTTGTAAAAGTACATTTAGAAAAGTGCTTTTGTAAAAATGCTTTTCATAAAAAGTACTTTTACAAAAGTGCTTTCGTAAAGGTGCTTTCATAAAATTGTTTTTATAAAAGTACTTTTATAAAAGTGTTTTTATAAAACAATTTATTAAAAGTGCTTTCAAAGGGTATGTTTTGAAAATTTGAAAGAAAATGAAGGACAAAATAGTTACAAATGCTTATTTAAATTCTTATTAGAGAGAAAGACTACCAAACGCCCAATATAAATAAGCACTTGTTTTTAAACACATATTCAATAAGCACTTATTTTTAACGTAAGCACCCCCAAACATGACCTTAGTTAAAAAGTAAGAGGAAAATATTTTTAGGCCTAAATTTAAGTTATTTAATAGTCATCTTACATAATAACTTCTACTATTCAATGATTATTTGAGTAAATTAACATAATAGCTTTGTTTACTTTTAACCATTAATAGTAATTATTTTCATAGGTTTTAGGTTATCACAAAACAGGAGATCCGTTAAGAGTGGCATCTCCTATTCTCCATAAATTTTGTGTTTCATTGGGATGAACTGTATCTGTATATAATATTGTTGAATGTAATTTTATCATTGTTTTTGTGCATTAATGTTTCAATCTGATGCATTTGCAGCCAACATTATATGCATATTATAAAATTAAGATCTTGGAATTTTGTGAGGATATTCTTTTTTATGTCTTATAGAATTGTCTTAGGACTTAAACGGTATGTGAAATTTCATCTATGCTCGAGATATAAAAGCATAGTCAAACATCACCATCAATATTAAATATCTTGTGCATCGCACATGCCATTCCACTAGTTCTACTAAAAAGCAAGGATGTCAACAGGTTGGGTCTAAGTAAAACTGGAGACTGACCCAATAAGAAATATTAAGGACTTAGAATCAGATCAGACCCGATAGGGTTTGTAATTTTAGACCTAGAACCAAATTGATTAGTTCCAGAAATAGTTGGGTCTGATCTGAAGTACTCGAGTATAATAAATCTATTGAAAATATTATATAATATTAATTTATTTAATATATTGTACATTTAGTGTATATATATATATATTAAATATTTCCTTTATTTTAAGTAAATTTATTTTTCAAAAATACTGTTAATTAAAAAGTTTTGAGAATTTAAATCCCCATGAGAAATCTATTTCCATTGGGGATCAGGGACGGATGATAACTTTTATCCCCAATAGGGATCAAGGTTTATGGATAGGAATTTATTTTAAAATCAGGGTCAAGGATAAGAAATATGATCACTACCCCATTGCCATTCCTAGATGATAACCAAACCCAAACCAAAGGATTGAGAGACTTTAGGTTCGATTAGATTTAAAGATTGATGGTCAGGATGGATTAGGGTTAGGGTTGAGGTTTCAAGACCTTGGATTGGACTATAATTGACCTCAACCTAACCTAACCCAGCCCAACATGTAGGTTGTACTCCTACATAGTACTGTTAGTTGGTGGTTGGCCATGGTAGTACATAGTACTGTTGATGAACCAACAAGACATATTGGATTGGACAAATTTGGTCCAAAATATTTATTAGATTGAATTTGACTTGTTTCGTTTGTAACAAATTTATATTGGATTGGGTTGAATTAAGCCAATATCTAGTCCATTGATATAAGAAAAGAATACATATATCAATAGACCGGGTTTAAGTTGAAACAATCAAAATCAAAATAAATTTAAACAAATTGAACAGTCATTGGATTAAATCAATTCAAATTGATCCAAAACATTCATTGGATTAGATTGGACCTGATCGAGTCCAACTGACACCCCCTAATCATGATAGACCAGACCCAATTCTAAAACCAAATCGTACAAGGACCCAGAACTTATCCAATTAACCAGCCTTAATTACCAGGTCTTACTCCATAAGATCATATTACAAGTAACTTGACAATACTTATTTTGGTACTAACGCAACGCCTATGTACCTTTGTCATCTACCAATGTACTTCCATAATCGTTAGGGTCTGGAACAGGCAAACCCAATATTGGCCCCATTACAATTGGGATCAATATCGTTGGACTCAGACTGGATGTAGAATCATTTTGGTATTGGGTCATTTGTCAATGGTCCAGTTTGATCTCAAAGTGCAAAAAAGAAACAAAAAAGATGAAAAAAATATAAAATAATTATTAATTATCTTTTAAACATTATAAGTTACAATTCTTACTAGGGAAAAACTATGCTGCTATAATACTATAAAGACGTGATATCAGAAGAACTTTGATTAATTAAAACCCCGTGAATCTTGATAAATACCATCTGATTGGTTACTATTTCTCTTATATAAGTTGATTGGTTATAAGATTTTCTAATATCATATGTTTCCACTATCATGATAGAACCCTATTTATTAATATAATACTTTTGAAAACTGGACCAGAATGAGTGGTTGGACCGGTTAACCCAGTATCTGATCATAGGTCTAGATCCAGTTTTTGAACCCTAAAACTGTTTAATCCGGGTTTAAATTGAATGGTTAGACCGTTTGATCTAAGAACTGATAGTCAAAATGATTTCATTTTCAATTTGGTTTTCAAAACCATGATTTGAAGTAAAATTGAAGAAATCAAACATTTTTAAGATATTAAGCAACTGATGGTGGCTTTGTTGATGGAATCTCTGATTCATTGTAGCAGAGACCTTGGATCAAATTAAGGGGATGAGGGATGGGCTACCACGTTGTGTGGCCCCACCAAGCAAAAACATTTTTAATAACTTGAAAAAAATGTATAAACCCAAAACAGATGTGATTATTGATAATTAGGACTCAAAATATAGACCTAGACCTTATGTAGCAGGACAAGAGGGTTTTGTCTGTTTGGATTGACCCGGGCAGTTGGCATCCTGGTAACCCACACCTGAGAGGCTTGTTCAGATTTGCTACTAGTATTATTAAAAAGTCACATATAGGCCGCTTAAGAACGAATTTGGATAAAGTCCTAACACAGGGTCCCAACAGCCTTTGTAGATATGCATTGGGAGCATCTCCCCTTGTCCTTCAGAGGGAGATGTTCCCAACATATAGCTGCAGACCTGCAGTGGTCGTTGGGACCCTCTATTGGGACTAGATCCGATCTCCTTAAGAACCACCCTACACCTACACAATTATAATTCAAAGTAATCACAAACTTGAGCTGGGACTCAAATAGCTAATGAGTAGATCTTACCATATCATTATCCACCCTTGGTTTTTGTTTTGTTTTGTTTTTTTTCTTTTCAAACAATAATTTGTTCACACTTCACAACCACATCATTTACCAACCAATTACATCTCAACATTTTTTTGCCAATTCCCAACTCGGTTGTTGGGATGCAAGTATGAGTTTTTATGTTAGAATTTAAGGAAAAAAATAAAGATGTAAAGAACTTATATACATAAAGATTGACCCACAACGTAATGATTCAAACTTCTGGGTTAAATGTGGTGTCCACTGATCTTGCGTGTAAGTCCTTACTCATGAAATGAAGAAAAACCATGAGCTACATATGTTATAGTGCAAATTAAGTAATGAGCTCTAAAATCAGGTGGTGTGCCTTCCAAGTTCCATAACAACCAGTCGAGCACCCAGCAGCTTTAGGCTTACTTAACAACTAACCAACCAACCAAGAGGAAGCCAAACAGTAAGCGAACAAAACAGGGCTCTTATCGACCCTCCAACAATGTAATACTCATGTCACCTGTAATATAAGATTCCTGCTTACTAGAAGATGAGTCTGGTGCCATGACAGGATACCTTTGTGCAAAAAAGCCTGGTTGCTGAGGCTTGGGCAATGAACACCCACTGCTCAACATCAAAACCACAGAGGACATGGTTGGCCTATCTTCTGTGTTTTGTTGAACACAGAGGAGACCCACATGGATGCATCTTACTACTTCATCAGTCGCCGAACCTAACTCCCCCATTGAGGGATCTATTAACTCCATCGCCCGTCCTCCATTACATAGTGTCCATGCCTGACCTTATAATATATATATAGAAAAGTTAGAACTTGCAGGATTAGGTACTTATTAGTGCTTGGCAGTAGGAAGAAAAGACTTCTGTAGCCACACTTACATGCCCAAGAAGATTAAGCTGAAATTCTGGATGATAAAATCCCCTGTTCTTCTTTCCGCTTATTATCTCTAACACTATAACCCCAAAGCTATACACATCCGATTTCACTGAAAAGAGTCCATCTATTGCATATTCGGGAGACATATAACCGCTGCATAGAAATACAATCATCAAAGAAGATTATTTATGTATTTTTCTAATCTTTTTTTGGATGGCTAATTTGAGAAAGCTAAGGAGTGCTCACTATGTTCCAACTACTCTTCTAGTTTCTGCTTCAGTTTGATCTCTTGCAAAAATTCTTGCCAAACCGAAATCAGATATTTTTGGTTCCATTTTGCTGTCAAGTAGAATGTTGCTTGCCTTGAGATCTCTATGAATGATTCGCAATCTAGAATCCTGATGGAGGTAAAGGAGTCCTCGAGCAATCCCCATAATAATGTGGAGGCGCATTTCCCAATCCATTAATTTGCTTCTTTTCTCATCTGTAACAAGGTGAAATTGATCAAGGTTGCTGTTTAATAAAACCGAAAACACTGAAATTCCTGGGCTTCTCATTAATTCTAGCTTTGGCGTGTAGACGTAAAAACCACGTAAATTTACAAGAATCGAAGTTGCACATATGATTTAAGAGTCACATACCGAATATAAAAGAGTCTAAGCTTTTATTGTCCATGTACTCGTAGATCAACATCCGTTCTTCACCTTGAATGCAACACCCAAGAAGCTTAACAAGATTCCTATGTTGGAGCTTGGAAATTAATATAACCTCATTCTTGAACTCATCCAGTCCTTGTATCGAACTCTTGGAGAGCCTCTTCACAGCTATTTCTTGTCCCTCCACCGATTTTCCCTGCACATTGTCACCAACATCTAATCTACACAGTAAGATGGTACAATTAACTAACTGATTTTCATGTAACTTTAATCTTATGGAATATCAAGTATTTTACCTTGTAGACAGGGCCAAAGCCACCCTCTCCAAGCTTATTTGTGTCGGAGAAGTTATCAGTAGCTTTTACTATGGTAGCAAAGTCAAAAGAAGGGAGCTCAAGGTTGTCGATATTACTTTCGTCTCTGTAGCTTCTTTCTTCATTTCTCTCCACTTTTCCTACTAAATGAATAGTGTATACATAAGGCTATTACTTTATATATTGTTGCCACCACTTGGGGTTGGGGCATTCGATCACTCCCCTCAGGCCTCAACATTCTCTTATTATATATATTGGACAGTGCAAAAGGTGGTAACATAAATATTAGCATGTAATTGGGTCCTAGAAGGAGCCGTTCGTCAAATGCTCAGAGGACTAGATCGATAGAATCATTTCTGAATTCAAAAGGTTCTAATAATAGAATGAAAGAATAGTACCTTCAGATTTTTCCTTCTTGTAGAAGTACCAACCAAACCAACCTAACAGAAGCATCCCCGGAACTACTGTTAGGACTATCATTATCACTCGTTTCTTCTTCTTGGAATCATGTGCTGTACGTGTTTCACAAAATCAGTGAACCATTAGAAAGTCGGATGCAATAGCAGTAGGTGAAGAGAAGCCAAATGGTAAATACTTGAAAGAAGAAACACCTTGGCAATTTATATTTGTTGCAGGGCACTGAAAATGGCCATCCACTTATAATCTATTAGATCCTACCTCAGAGGCTTCACTTTTTAGTTTTATTCAATATATGGGTTGTAGGCTTGTAGATATACAGACAACTGCAGGCTTTTAATCTTACCTTCCACCACCCTTAGAATAAAAGCACATAGGGCAGTCACGTGCACAAGGCTCCCACCAATGCAGGATTGAGTCTTACCCCTGTAGTCTGTAGTAGATATACAGGGAGGCTGTTTACAATATGTGAACCTTTTGGTCACTCAGGTTGCAATGGAGCAAGGTAACTGTTGCGCCAAGAACCACCCTCAAAAGAACATCTTAAAAAGAATTTGGAATTCCAATATAAAGAATTTTAATTATAGAAATGAATACATGCATAACTATGTAAATCATTTTGAGAAGCATTTTTGTACTTTTAATGGTCACTCAATAAAAAATTTATTTGTATTTATGCCCTTTCGCTTTTTGATAACTCACTTGTCCGGGTAAATGCAATTACCTGAGTAAATGTTTCCTAGTAGGAAAGATTTACCCAGGTAAGTACATTTACCCATGTTCTTTTATTTTCCATGTAAATAAGGCAATGACCATCTTAGCCATAAAAATTCCATTATTAAAAGGGGCATTTTTGTCCCATCCAAGTATTGACAACTTTCCCTAGATGAGAAAATTAATTTACCCACCTAGGAGATGGGCATGATATGGGTATCAGTTACATGGATATTATCCAGGAAAATAAACTTTCACTGGTCCCCACATAAATCTGAAAAATAAACATGGCTTTTTTGGTTAATGGAATTTTTCCCCCTCTCAAAATATCAGATTTATATGTGTATATATACACACTATCATATATTAGATATATCTGGACTCAAATTTTGGTCAAATTAAATGCATCCAGATGTGTGCAGGTTTTAACATCCTAAGCACTATAAATTCTTCTTCCATCATCCTCAACTATGATCAGTTCATCATGTGGGTAGGTTTAGATCAACCAAGCAGAAGTTACCAACCTTCAATTCCTATTTCTGAGATTTTTCTTTCCCTCCACGGTTTCTCTTCTTTTATAAGATCTTTGGAAACGCTTTATACTTCTTTTGCGTTACCATTAGCTTTTATGATTTACCTCTTTCAAATATTCTCAGTAGGAATGTTAATTGGACCGGATTTGGTCCAATCCGACCCAGTCCAATAAGAGTCCATTGCAGGTGGACTAGGTCCAATTCAATTTGATGAATATTCTTGATAATTTTGGATCAGAACAATCCAATGTTTGGATCATCCAATCTGTTTAAATTGATTTTAATTGAGATTGGTTCCAACACCAACTTGGTCCATTGACACTCATATTTTTTGTCTTTGATCAATGGACTGGATATTGGTTTAATCGGACTTAATTTAATTATAGATGAATTAAGTCCAATCCAATCCAATAAATGCTTTGGATTATTAAATCTTTACCGATCCAAATTTAATATGTCTTATTAATCCGTTCTAGCAGTCTAAGTTGATTTTGATTTGGATGGGGTCTAACCCAAAACCAGTGCATTGACACCCCTAATTCTTAGCATGCTTAATATTATGGATCGGACTAATTCATTGCTACAGTCTGGATGAAGTGGATTAAATTCAAATTCGGACTTTCTCCTAACATAACATTTCTCGTACCAACCTCATGCTATGACAATATATACAAGTATGAAAGATGCTCCTTATGTGTGGGATTCTTGTGAGGTTGGTGTAAGGAGCAGTGCGTGAGGAGTGAATCCAGTGTCTCATGTATATTGTTAGGTGGTAGACATTGAATGCCAAAGCAACTTTGACCTGTCACTGACATTTAATTAATTGCTCAAGGCCAGTAGTGTTTCTTATGGGAGTCCAGGCTTAAAAGCTATAATTCTAAGCAATCAAATTAAGCTTTAATGGAATGGTTTGGACTTGAATTCAATTAAACTTCATTTAAATTTCGTTATTCAAACTTAGATTTGATAAACAAAATGTTCGACTTGAAAGCTTTCGAGCCTGTTTCGATTAAAAAGTTTTTAAACTTTTAAATGGAACTCAAATTCGAATATAGAAATATTTTAACCGTAATAAGCTAAGACATACTAAAATCCGACTCGACGCAAGCTGCCAGCACTTAAGGGCCAAGAGTGAGGCCATAAGCCCAATCTTTGCTGGATGTAATTAAAAATTAATTCAACTGCTTCCAAATTATCAAATAATAAAACTACTGAGCTAAGTAAAGAACTCAGATAATAATAATGGAGGACTTACCAAGTTCTGATGCAGCCATTCGAATGTAGAGATCTTGCCCACCGCCACCGTTAGAAAACCGTCTAATATCGATCAAATCACCAAACCAAATAGCACAGCCGCTGCCGCCTCCACTAATATCAGAGTTTGCATATGCAGTACAAGAGCAGTTCTTCAGGCATTCGACTTCACAATCTTTAAGATTAATGTTTTTGTCCACCCAAGTATACCTAGTATCCGGCAATTTGACCCCTGTAAACTTTACAAATCCTTCTCCCTTCCGGCAATTCAGAGATGCTTGGTGTACACATCCCCCGGACCAATCCATTAAGTTCCAATCAGATGGAGATTTTGGTTTGAATCCTTTCAAACACTGGCAAACCGGAGATTCGTTCATGTCACAATCACTGTACGCACCACAAAGACCATAACTGTCACAGTAGTCTCTCGGCACCGACAAGAAGAGTTGCCAATTACGACTCAAGGTATTCCATGTATAGCGTTGAAGCTCGCCGCCGTTACCGGTGCTTTGGTTCAAGACCAACCTTGAAATAACTGAATTGTCATTCAGCAGCTGGTACATGTAAGAAACCTCATCGTTATTCCAAGTAAATTTGAAACTGAAAATAAGATTGGTCTTCAGTTCGGGTGCCCCACTATATCGAAGCCCGTTCCATGGTCCAGCCCTATAATTCTCCTTCGATCCTTTCCGCATCACTGTTTCAGGGTATTCGTTAAGCTCTATCCCATAAGTAAGATCTCCCGTAGAAGGATCGTCGACACTCTTCCACGATGATAAGCGCCAGTTCATTCCCGTCTTCAGGTTCCATCCTAGTTTCATCCCGGGTAACAATGTATCACATGGATAATCAAAGCTCTGCCATAGGAAGCTTTCTGAACTGCCATCTTTCCCATCCTTCAGAACAAGATTTCCCGACTCTAGCAATTGTACCACCAAACTCTCTGTTGCTGCTGCTGCTGCTATTGTTGCTTTTGTGAAATTTGAAGACCAGATGGGACCATTTGTTCCATTGAAAAGTACGAAATTGCCTTTGTTGTCTATCTTCAAAACTCCGGTGGAATTTGTAAGTGGATGGTCTCTGTTTAAGACCCAGACTACTGTGAGAATTGGGATATTCTTGTACCAGATCCCCACATAACGATTCTTGGAATTTTCAGGACTGAAAAAGCCTAGTTCAAAGCTTCCCTCCTTTGAAACTAAGGTTTGCCCCTGCTCATCGCTGATAGATTGAGATTGAGTGAAGGTGTCGGCAGCAAAGGAGGTTGCAGGGAAGAAACAGAGCAAAGCAGTTGAACAGGAAATAAGAAAATACAGGCCTCCCATTTGTTTTGTCTCCCGGCTGTTCAAACCTGAAAAATCAAGATTTTCTCCTCTGCTCATCAATAGTAAAGGAAAATAAAACCAAACGAGGTTTCTTTGTAATTCCTTATTTCTCACTCAAATTATCCTGGTGTCACTGGCTCACTGACTTCGCTTGACCACCAGAAAACCGTGAGAGGTGTTGCAGTAAATGTTCTTTTCAAAATTAACAGAGAGAGAAGCAAATATATTTGAAGCCGTGAACAGCTCATTCGCTTACAAGAAAAATCCGCTACGCAAGAAGGAGACCGGATGAGGTATGTACAGCTATACGAGCAAATTTAATAAGCATTCAATAATATTTTGACTGCTGTCCATGTATTGTTACGACCCCACCTTGAATCGGAGGATGAAATGACATTAAGATGGGCCACTGGCTGCTCGAGCACGGGACGGCCGGGCCTAGCGGATTTCTCCTCGCTTCCTCTCATTCCTCAACTCCCTAGCCCCTCCTTTTAGAGTAACACTGGAACAAGTGGGCGGCCAATGCCATGCTTGGTATTGGAATCATCTTGTCTCCGTGGAACACTCGACGAATCCTGATATGCCACGTCAGCTTGCCATATGAATTATAGCTGATGTAGCGTGTGGCCATTGACCCGTGGAGGATGATCGCAGATTGATACCAAACGCTGAAGTAGAAGAGTCTTTAATTCTTTATTTATTGGACGGAGACAAAATCAGGCACTTTGGGCTGGGCAATTTATCGAACACACCTATATTTTATTATGCATAAGGTATGGGTCCTATGGAAGGCTCATGTATAGTGATAGGTTGCCCATGCATGATTTTATCTCCAGCCCAGCCCATTCCATCCGATCCGATACCTTTTTAGTGGGGATTATCAATTATACACAATGTTTTCCCACTGTTGGTTGATCCAGACGGTTGGACCATTCTGTCTGAGAATTATCTAAACAATCGATTTTATTTTAACCCAAACTTGATTCCTGGCCGAAAATCATTGAATTGATCAATAATTCGTTAATTTAGGTGATCAAACTGTTAATCCATTTAACTCATTCAATTATTTTTAACCTTTTTTTATTTTTATTTTTTTGTTGAAATAAGATTGTTTAATTATCAACCCAGAAACCGGTAATTAAGAATGATTCCAATTTTAGATCGATTTTTAAAACCTTGATTATAATGCCCATTTGGGAGTACAGAAGCACAGAGGCTTCCGGTTTTGTAAGGTGGATTCCACACGCATGACCTATAAGCCAGGTTCTGGGAAAATTTAAGAAAATCCAAATAGACTGTCCATCAGTCATTTAAAGAGCTGCGCGCCTACTTCGATCTCTTTGAGCTTATGGGGTTATGGGTTAGGGGATGGGCCAACCCCGTTGTGTAGCCCTTCAAAAATATCAAAAAAAGGAGAACTTATCCTTGAAGGAACTGAAATTAATTAGCTACATCTTCAGCTCACCTCCCAAATACGGGTCAATATTCGAAGAGGGGTCAAGGGTGAGATCACCACCATAAGTAACACAGTGTAGGGCCTTCATCGATAGTCAAAATGATATGTTGATTTTGGTATTATTTTGGCTTTTAAGAATGGTTGTTCTTTTACGAAGCACAACTTTTCCTCACTGAATTTCCAAAAGTGAATCACCTAAACATCGATCACTTTTATTTTTGTTTTTCGATTTCATTTAACAAGGTTGTCTGTAACCAACTAACCAGGATGTTGCATTTTTCTCCATGTAAACGTCACATAGGCGATTTGACTTGTAATTGAATGCATCTCTACTTCAATTGTCATTGTCCTATGTTTCATCTAATAGTCTCTCTCTCTCCATATATATATAGGAAAATCGTAATCAACTATAGTATAGTGTATTTTGTGCCAATAATGTCCCATTGCCTAAATCCTGATTGTTCTCACTTCATGACTTAAAACACCACAATACCAAATAAATGGCATTTCTCTTTTATTTTATTTTTTATTTATTTTATAATCGGGTACTAGTTTCAGTTATGCGTGTATATTGGGTAATCAGACCATCAGGCCCAAGCATATTCAAATTTTAACAAATCCTCAGCCTGACCCAAGTTTCAACCCTGGCGTTGGATCTCAATCTGGTTTATAATAATTAATTAAATAAAAAAATATCTGCCTAGTGAGGGCTACCATTGACGTTGTATGAGGAAATTATCACAACGAGAACATGCAGTTGGGTATGAGTTAAAGTAGATTCTAAACTAACATCTTAAATGTGAAGACATCCTTGTGAAATGCTACCTAACCTCTTTATCTTCAAATTTGTAATAAATCATAATACTAACTTGTTCTGAAACTTTCTTAATCTTCTAAAGAACTATGACTGGTTTGATGAATCATACCTTGCCACCTGTCCTCAAATTTGGATGATCGAAGTCATCGAACCTACCCTTCAATAGGCCCCACATTGAAGACTAATTCGACCAAAAAGCAACTTAAATAGTTCTATCCAAATTAAAACATATCTTGAAGGAAATGATAAGAAAGTGATTGTACCCCAGAGCTGGCATCTTTCCTTATGCACATGAATGTATATATGATTGTTGAAGAAATTTGAGAAGGGTCGCTATCTTAAATTTGAAAAGAAAAAAAAACCCTGTCTAGTTCTGCTGTTGGTATGGTGCGTGTCACAATCGATATTGAGGTTATTATTGTATAAATATTCAGACGCGTTTATTGTTTTAATCCAACTCTACAAGCCTCTAAGATATTTTTTTTTTTCTATAATTTTTGTTTGTTTTGAGTGAAATCTTTAAATTTTAAACCTCTACATAAAATATGACAATTGATTTTTTTATTTTTTATTTTTATTTTTAAGTCTGGCTTTATTGGTATGTTGTTGGAGATGAGGTTCAAAATTTAGATACAGTACAGTAAAATTAAGTGGACGTAATGGACCCGCTAAGAGGAAATTTTGACCCAAAGAAACCCAATTTGTAAGGCTATTGGTAAGTGAAGAGTATTGGCCCATTAGTGCATTGGCCCAATGAGGTATTAGGTGGGGTCCGATACAAAGCTTATTTGAAATAAAGGGTGCCAGCAGCTGTATCAGCGGTTGACAAACGGATAAATTCATAATTTGGAAATCTTCTACAGATGTAAATTTGGAATCTTCTACAGATGTAAATTTGGAATCTTCTCAAATTGATATGGTGAGTCCAGTTTAAAAGGTGCTGGTATGCAGGTAGGCTTAATTGATTGACACAAAGAAAGCAATGGTCTGAAACACTGAATGGTATGTGGGCCTAGACCTTGCCAAGTGGCATTTGATGGTAAGTGTTGGAAATTGAATCAGGCATTCAGATCCACTTACCTAAATAGCATTTAAATGAAGATAAAAAATTGATCCCGGAACTATCAATTTAGTGCTCCCATCCATGTCAATCACCATTTATAATGCAGTTCCGATCTCCTACCCACTATAACTCTGATCTACCTGAGAATGCAACCATACGAAAAACATTTCACGCCCTTACATGGTGTTATGCATGGGAGATGTTCCCAATGCATAGGGTAGTGTTTTGTGTGTAAGTGTGGGTAAAGAAAAAATAGCTCTCTTTCGGCTTCTATTTATGTTTCTCTTTAGACACGAAAAAAAGTAGAAGGAGGCTACATCATGTCCAGCATTCTAGCTCCTGAATTCTTGTAATTAAGTAATCTTCCATGATCAAATATGGTCTACTTTTCATTGAAGATCACTCCAAGTAAAGACCGATACAGATCATTAGTCAATCCTCAATTACATTGTTTTTTCGTTCTTCCAACGGTTTTGACTTCATGCAGCTGTTCCTGTTCATCTTCTAATCAATAGTTGGTCATGATTAATGGAGAATCTTGCTCACTCAAAATCAATTGTTGTTTGTCTTAAGTAATTGGTGTGGCACTGGGGAGAGGACACCAAGCATATTTTCATTTTCTTGGACAAATACATCTCATCATGGCTCATTTGAGTCCTGGTGAAAATAAAATTAATTTTGATGCATCTTGCTCAAAGAATGAAAATTGTTCTGTGGCACTCATAGCAAGAACTCATCTGGGTAAGGTTTTGGATTACAAAGGATATACGTTAGGCACCTCCTCTATGACCAACTTCATCGACCACTCGATCATAATAGAAGGGGACTTAGATATTGTAGTATGTTGTCTCAAAGGATTGATCTCTCCATAGAATTTAAGGAATATTATTTCAGACTGTTTACAAATGAAAGAGAAGCTAGAAGGTGGTGTTAGATACAGGCACATGTACAAAGAGGCGAACCAGGCGGTGGATTAGCTTGCAAACCAGTCTCATTCTCTTCCTAATGATGTTGCCTCCACCAATCTTTGTAATCTCCCTAGGGACCATGATTTTATTTGTATGAGTGACTTTTGTGGGCATGCTACCCCCTGTTAGGGGTGCAAGTCGGGTGGGTTGGGCTGAGTTTGGTCAGCTTGGGCCTGACCCTAAAATTTGGGTTTAAGGCTTGAGCCTGAGGTCAAGCCCAATCTTCCCAACCCGAGTCCAGCTTGTACTGTAATTCGATGCATTCAGGTTGGACTCGGGATCGGGTTGGTCAATGAACCCACTTTAAAATTGTACCTACATACACACACACACACAAATATGCATGTATATATATGTAAATATATATATATATATGCAAAATTTACATATATACATATGTATGTATGAATGTGTATGGTTGGGCCGGGCTCGGGCTACCTAAGGGCTAGGCCTGGGTCCCGCCTGAAAAATAAAAAATGCGACTTCATGGGCTAAAGGTCAGCCTGTGTAAAATTTTGGGTTGGGTCGATTTGTGCTCGGGCTGGGCTTGCCCAAGTTGCACCCCTATCCCCGTCTTTGTGTAACATCTTTTGATCCTATTAGGAAAAAAAAAAAAACCTATCATATTACAATTCCAAGTTTCGTTTGTGACAAGAGAATTAGAAGGTATTTTTCATTTAAAAAAAGAAGAAATAAAAGAGATGGTATCTCATTATGTTTTTCAAAAAAAAAAAAAACTTTCTTTGAATTTATTAGATTATTAGAGGACATTTTCCCTATCTTTCCTTTCAAACCAAGCAAAGCCTAAGTAGACACCTCTACTTATTAGATTCAAGAATCAAAGTATCGCTATTGAGTATTG